AATATCTAAGCCTCAGCTCTTTGGGTTTTAAAAAAAGATGTTTTAAGTTTTTCCTGTATACATTTAAGGAAAATCAATGACCCCCTGGGGCTGGGCCAATTTTGACCCCCAGGGCTTTTATTTGAACAAACTGAGGATACACTTACTAGAAAATGTTTCATGCCAAATATCTTAGCTCTAGCTCTTTGGTGTTTTTAAAAGATTTTTTATTTTTTTCTGCATGAGTTCTGTATGGAATTAAATTCTTTGAACAAATTTTAAAGGTGACGATCAAAGGGACATTCCAATGAAGTTTAGATGAAACTGGCTCAGCAGTTTATGAGGAGAATGATGTTATTTTGAGTAAAAGTTTATGGACGGACGACAGATGAATGCTGGAAGAGTTGTGATAACAAACGCTCACCTTGTCACTTTGTGACAGGTGAGCTAAAGATAGTAAGAAACCTATCAATAATGGTACAACAAACATGTTGTATAAAGAAAATGTGGCTAACATTGCCATGGATAGACCACACATGATGCTAGAATCAACATACAAAAGGCAATCACAAGAGCTTTACTCAGTGTACAAATTTTGCTCAGGTGAGCTTAAATTGAACTAGAACTATCACTAAATGTGATTAATACCCCCGCAAGACTGCTTCGGAAATGAGGAAGTTACAAGTAACAGAATACCTTGTAAAAGAATTGAAATTTAAAAGTTATGTTTGTGGGCAATTAAAGATAGTTGTGCTTTTTGTATGTTGCATTACCTTACAATATGGTTTACCATCAATGGTTTTATTGAAGTTTATTAAATCCAGAAAGAATTACGCTTCATGAGCACTGCACTTCCTCTCATTGCGCTTGACCATTGCATTGAATTCTAAACATTAGTTTTAAGTTATGCACCGTACAAGGAAAAGGAATAAAGGGCAATAACCCTACAAATACTGAAGATGGAGTTATGGTTATTATACACGGCACTTCCTCTCATTTTGCTTGACCATTGTATGAAGTTGTATTGAATTCCAACTACTAGTTTTCAAGTTATGCACTGGACAAAAAAGTAACAGGGCAATAACTGTAATGATCCAATAGTAGAGTTATGCTTCTACTGCACTGCACTTCATCTCACTGCCCTTGACCATTGCATGAAATTCATTGAATTCAAAACATTATTTTTCAAGTTATGGCTCCAGACAAGGAAAAGTAACAAAGGGCAATAACTCTGTAATTAGTCAAGATGGAGTTATGATTCTTGTGCACTGCACTTTCTCTCAATGTGCTTGATCATTGTATTAATGTGAAAATACAGATATACTGCTTAACGTAGACGTCATCAGCCGAGTACCCATCTGTCACTGGATGTTTCGCCCCTTATCTCGGAACATCCTCTTGATTGTGGGGCAGGTAGTGTTGATCAGGTACTACCTCGTCTATGATGGCTGCCAGGTTGGTTCATTGCGTCTTAGCCAGAGCCAACTGGACGCTCTCTCTGCAGCTTTGCCAAGAGCATGTGCTGCTGTATTCCGGGCTCCTCCTTTAACGCCCACTGCTCCCAGCATTTTCCAAACTGACTGTGATGGAAAGCCTCTGCAACCAACTTCTACTGGGAAGACCCATGTCTTCCATCCTCTTTCTTTACATGTGTCTGCCAAGTCTTGGTATTTCCCCTTCTTGATCTCATGGGACTCTTCTACTCTCTCTTCCCAAGGAACAGTGAGTTCTACCATCACCATCAACTTCGGAGACCTTGACCACATTACTTTATCTGACCGGAGGGATGTGTGAGTCACTTCCTCTGGGAACTTTAACTTCTTCCCAAGGTCTACCAGCATTTCCCAGTTCTTTGAATCATGTAAAATGCCAGTATAGTTGATTTTGCAGACTTCTTCAACCCCCTCTTTAACAAAGTTGATAAAGTATGGTCCAGTCTTTTTCAACGGTCTATCTTTCTTTCTCTCTTTCTCCAGGACGTCCGCCATTTCACGAAGAACTTGGTCGTGGCGCCATCTGTATCGTCCCTGGGACAGTGCAGTATTACATGATGACATGATATGGCGTAATGATCATACATTCCCGCAAAGTAGACAGCTGGGATCTTCTGACAACTTCCACAGTTTAAGATTTGTTGGGGAGGGTAGTAGGTCGTAAACAGATCTAAGGAGAAAACTCAATTGAAGTGGCTCATAACTCCACAGCTCCTGCCAGGTTAACTGCCTCTCTGGCAAGTTCCACTTCATCCAGCTTCCCTGAGAACCAAGTTGGACTGATCTTGATGACCGTGTTTCATCTTCTGCTCTCCTTAGTTCTGTCTGCACCATTGATCTTCTCTCCACTTTATCAGAATCTCTCCATCTCTGTTTGAACCTGATACCTAGTCCTTCTCTGCCCTTGTTTGTCGTTCCTACAATATCCTGGAGCTTTAAACTACTTTCAGCTTGGTCTACTGCCTGCTTAACTGACCATTTCCTCCCAGTTCTTACTTCAATTCCTGCTCCACTGATCTTCTCATCAGACGATCAGCTTCTCGACTAAACTGATGGGGATTTCATTGACCATCAATGGCCAGATAAGTCTAGCTAAAAGACCGTGCTGGAAGATCCATGCTTTGTACTTTCCAGGGAGTTCTGACTTGTCTATTCTCTTTAGCCCTTCTTCAACTTGCTGTTTTAGTCGTCCTTGGCTTTTGGTGTCCTTGAGTGTAGAATCAAACCACTTTCCCAAACACTTTACTGGGTTGTTGACTAATGAAGGAATCTCTTCTTTCTGTATAGTTAGTTTGAATCTGTCTGTTACCTTCCCCTTCCTCACTACCAAACACCTTGACTTTCTTGGCTTAAATAACATCCTTGCCCATGACACTGTTTCATCAAGTGCGTGCAGAATCCATCTCGCGTGGATGTGGGTTTCTGTGGTGATAGTCATGTCATCCATGAATCCCCTATTGGATGGGAGACGAATGCCGGCATTCGTCTGTGGACCTCTTGATTCCCTCTCTGCTGCTCGGATGATCATGTTCATACCCATAACAAACAATATGACAGAGATGGTGCATCCTGTGACAATGCCTTTCTCCAGTGGAACCCAATCTGTGGTAAATCTACTGCATGAGAACCTCAAATGGATGTTACTGAAGTAGCTTGTGACCAAATTTCTTGCTTGTTCTGGAACATGGTAGTGCTGTAGTGCCTCAAGAATAAGTTGGTGGGGTATGGAGCCATAAGTATTTGCAAGGTCAAGCCATACTACTGTAAGGTCTTTTTGGTTGATTCTTGCCTCGTGTAGCAGTTGTGTGAGCGCACTAGTGTGCTCCGCGCAGCCAGAGAGTCCTGGGATTCCACCTTTCTGTACAGACGTGTCGATATACTTATTTTCTATCATATATGTTGTCATTCTCTTGGCTAGGATGGAGAAGAAAATCTTTCCTTCCACACTCAACAATGATATGGTTCGGAACTGTGTTACATTCTTCGAGTTCTTCTCCTTTGGGACAAGACAGCCCTCTGCTGTCTGCCAGCAATTTGGAATGCTTCCTTTCCTCCATACCACCCGTAAAAGTGACCATAGTGTTCTTAAAAGCTTTGGGCATTTCTTATACACCTTGTATGGGATGCCACTAGGGCCTGGGGCAGAACAAGAGCGTGCTTTCTTTACCACATCGTTTATTTCTTTTCATGTGGGCTCCTTCATGTTTAGCGGAATGGCAGGCTCGTCTACTGGTTTGATTCTTCCGCATTCTCCCAATGATTCGCTTCGGTGTGGGTCAGAATGGGTTTCCTTAAGGTACTCTTCCACCTCATTTCGACTTCTCTCCAGCTTACCACATTTCTCCTCGCCCAATAGATCTTTCGTAAATTTGTATGGGTTTGATATGAAAGCTGTTCTTTTCTTTGTCTTTTCCCTCCTTTTTCGTCTAAGTCTTTCAGCATTGGTCAGCGACTTGAGTCTTGATCGTATCTGCTCTCTGAGTTGCTTAATCCCTTCCTTCTCAACCGTACTTGATTGCTTGTACTGCTTCCTGAGAGACCGCAGTTCTAGTCGGATCTTCTTTATTTCACACAGTCGTCTGTTAGGGACTGGAGGTGGTTGCGGGAGATTGGGTTTATTTTCTAAGCCAAATCTTTCCTTCCCAAGTGTGTATATTAGTGAAGTAAGTGCCTCCAATTTCCTTCCCACTGCTCCGATGAGTGTTGACAGTAGGACTAAGTATAAGTCTTCGTCAAACAGTGCCCAGCCTTTGTCGTTCATCTTTGGCCAAGCAATCTTCTGTTTCCTCTCACTAGAAGTTGACTGCTGCTTTTCATTGACTAGGTCGTGTGTCACCCTGGTACTTCCTGCAAGTGGTGATGTTCGCCATGACTCTGGGAAGGTAAGTAGATCTTCGGTGCTATTTTCTGTGACTGAGACTCTCTTAAGTTGTATTGAATTCCAACCATTATAGTCTTCCAGTTATGCTCCGGACAAAAATATTATATATAAGCAATGGGAAAGTAACAAAGGGAAATAACTCTGTAATTACTTTAGATAGAGTTATGGTTTTTGTGTTATGCACTTCCTCTTACTGTGCTTGACCATTCTATGAAGTTGTTTTGAATTCCAACCAGTAGTTTTCAAGTTATGCCCCGGACAACGAAAAATAACAAAGGGCAATAACTCTATATTGAGTCATGATGGACTTGATGGTTCTTGTGCATTGCACTTCCTCTCAATGTGTTTGACCATTGTATGAATTTATATTGAATTCCAACCATTAGTTTTTAAGTTATGGTCCGGACAAAAGAAAGCAATGGAAAAGTAACAAAGGGCAATAACTCTGAAATTACTTTAGATAGAGTTATGATTCTTGTGCACTGCACTGCCCCTTATTGTGCTTGACCATTGTATGAAGTTGTTTTGAATTCCAACCAGTAGTTTTCAAGTTATGCTCCGGACAAGGAAAAGTAACAAAGGGCAATAACTCTGTAATTAGTGAAGATAGAGTTATGGTTCTTGTGCACTGCACTCGCTCTCAATGTGCTTGATCACTGTATGAAATTGTATTGAATTCTAACCATTAGTCTTCAAGTTATGCTCCGGACAAGGAAAATGCAACTGACGTCCGGACCGACCGATCGACCGACCAACCGACCACCGGGTGACACCTATATACCCCCCACCACTTTTTTTGTTTTGGGGGTGTAATAAAAACACAAACAAAACAACCAACCAGATAATGTAGTGTCATCGTGGCATATTTCTCCATTTCATCAGGAGTAGTCATGTGTTCAATAGTATCCGGATGTCTGAAACCGGTGCAAAAACAATACTTATTTACTTCTAGCAAATGTCATAAATGGAACTGATAAAGAATCATAAATGGGTTTCTTATTATGATTGTTCTTATATCTTTCGTAAAACAAAATTGGAAAAAAGAATTGATGTTATGAAACAAAATAAGAATAGAATAAATATATTTTAATGATATGAGTATAAAGCTAAATATGGCTTGTTTGTAACTTAATTAAAATCATACAACTTAAAAAGTGGTCATATTACGTAGAAGCGGGTCGGTCGTAATTTCAGGTCTTTCAGCAACTGAATTATATAGGAAAAAAATTCCGGACCGGAAAAAAGGGGGCGGTACGTAATATCATTTTGCTAGTAATAAGGGGTCTGTTGTAAAACAAACTTTACTGTACTAATGTACCTATATTGAATCATCAAAAGATGTTTAAAGTGGATTGGGCATGCATGTAATTATCTCTAAATCTACTACATGTATAAACAGGAAGAGGTAAAGGTTACCCATTGCAGACGTCATTTTCCACCAGGGCATATATAACTATCAACGGATAATCTCCGGTCCTGTTCCTAAATAAACTGAAAATAAACAACCTGTCCATGTTAATACATGTATACATATTAAGTTATTTACGCATATTACAATTATATGGCATATGATGAGGAAAAAATGAATGTGTAATGTTCATTATTACAAAATCTAAAATAATCGTTTTCTTTTGATGTATTGAAACATAATGCTGAAAGAATTATTCAAAATTTAGTAAAGTAAAAAATTCATAAATTTATATTCCTAAAATTCACAGTATAGTAAGCTGCTATTATATTTCTTATTCAATCTAGAAATATGATTTTATATTACAAATTTATACACAAATAAAGTTCATATGAATGTGATATTTTGAAGTATTGGATGGAATCACTTTTATTTTCAGACTTTAAGAAGGTAAATAGTGTGCTTTTTTGGATCATGCTGACCTTAACCTTTGACCTTATAACTTCTTAGTGAATCTGGCAGGTAGTTAGCTGATTACCAAGGTGCATACATGTGTGAAGTTACAAGGCTTTGGACAAAAGCATTTTTATTTTATTGTCAACATTAATATTTGCTACTTTAGATCACAATAACCTTGACCTTTGACTTCATGATTTCTGAGTGATTCTGGCAGGTATTCAGCTCATCCAGGTGCATAAATATTTGATATTAAGTTAAAAGGCTTTGAACAAAATTTTTATTTTATAGTCAATATTAATGTTTGGGTCACAGTGTTCTTGACCTTTGAAAGGAAATAACATAATAGCCGTAACATGACATTTCCAACATAGTGGTCATATGACAAAATCGTAGAAACATTACATGACAGTTGACACCATTTTTTTTTAATTATACGATACGCACTTTTCCAATCAAAACTGTGCAGTTTTTAAACAGTGAGCACATCAGTTGTATATGTAAGCAAAAAAAAGTGTTACTGCACTAAAATTATAAAACTGTTCACAACAATGATGACGGTTTTCCGCAGTTTTAATATATGGGTAGAAATGACTCCTTTTTACAGCATAAAGGTTAAGTATAAACTGCACTGATAAACTTGTTCTGGTAACCTTGAACCCCTGAATCATTTCCTGAATCGTGATCTTAAGTACCGAGAAAGAAAATTTCAAGGAAGATATGAGTTGAAAAATCTAATGAGCCATGTCATGACAAAACCAACGTAATGTGTTTGCGACCAGCATGGATCCAGACCAGCCTGCGCTACCGCGCAGTCTGATCATGATCCATGCTGTTCGCTATCAGTTTCTTTACTTATAATAGGATTTGTAAGCGAACAGCATGGGTCCTGATCAGATGCGCAGGCTGGTCTGGATCCATGCTGGTCGCAAACAACCCATTATGTTGGTTTTGTCATGACGCGGCTCTTAAAGGACTCTTGACATATTGTCCTTACACAGAGATAATTAAACAATAATTACATGACTATTCTTTTGATTGTTATTTTTTTATTTCCAGTGTCAAGATGTTTTCCACGTATTTGTCTTTCTCTGTAACATGTTGTGGCTGATATGTATATATAAATTGGAGTAAACACTTTAATGTAAACAGAACAAGGAAGATATCAATTGTTTTATATAGCGGACACTCCAAACAAGAGTATATAATTGAGAGACAATTGTCAAGTTTAGTAGATGTCGGTGTAAGACGCTTGAAGTTGTTGAAATCCCGTCCTGCTTAATTTATATAAAATTAAAGGGAAAATAAAATTTCCTTGAATTTATATCATTAGACATGTTGTAAGTAGCATGACTCAAGATCCATACTTACTTTCATAACAATAAGGACAAGAGCTGTCGGTAGGACAGCAACGCTCGACTATTCTAAGTGCTTGATAGTAAACAAAATGCTTGATACAGTTACATCTTCCTGTTTACAGGTTGGGTAATGATGGTGAACAAGTGTGCAAAGTTTCAAAGCCATATGTCAATTGACTTTGAAAATATTTGAGGTATTACAAAAACTTTAACGTAAATTCTAAGTCGAAAAATGGGCATAATTCTGTCAAAATGCTTGATAGAGTTACCTCCTCCTGTCTGCAGGTTGAGGTCATGATGGTGAACAAGTGTGCAAAGTTTCAAAGCCATATGTCAATGGAATCTGAAAATATTTGAACTATTACAAAAACTTTAACATAAGTGGTTACGCCGACGCGGACGCCGACGCTCGGGTGATTACAATAGCTCTACTTATTCTTATCGAATAGTCGAGCTAAAAATGTATTTTAAAGTAAAATATTGTGAAGCATACAAAAGAAGGAATATTATTTTCACATTGCATACAAGCCAAGTAAATTACCAAACATATTTCAAAACAGGCAATATGGCCCCTACTGCATCAGGCAAGCTGAAGACATTGGTGATTTTTATTTTACCAATATTTTGAGTTTTTATTTTAAATGTACTCTGTCAAGTCGTTGTAATAGTTTATGCTAATAAGTGAAAGTCTGGGTTTTTATTTCTTGAGATAAAACCCATATCATACAGTATAAGTATTAATTCACTGTAATGATTTACCTGAATATTCTATTTGTGACTATATAAGAGACTATACAGTTATGTTTACTATATCTATAACTTTGATAAAAGAAAATTATCAATACAAATAATTATAATATCGCTAGACAAAATCTAACATGTTTTACATATGAAATTGCCCCTAAAATTCAGAACAATTTTTAACACTAACAATGTTAGTCTAGTCTGGTATGATATAAATCAAAATGTAAAATCTAAAATATTCAAGGTAAGATAAATTGAAACATGACTATTTGAACTGAAAACTTTCTTGAACAATAATTACAAGTGCTACCGTGTATTTCATCATATCAACAGTTCAGGGCTCAATATTTTGATATACATTTTACAGATTTGCTACTTTTCTTCATTCCATATTTACGCCTACAGTATGAAATGAACTGAATAATGAGGTAAATGTACATATTATCTTTTTTGACCAAATATAATATCATTATTTTGATATGTCTTCAATCAACAATGTCAGTATTTAGCAAAACAGACGCGATGTTGTAACTGAGAAAAAATTCTGATAGTGACGAAAATTTCTTGACAATCTTATGTTACTTCGATACTGTGTGAGCTAATAAAGAAAAAATAAATATACGTTCTACCGCCACTTGGCATATCATATGAAAAGGACAAACATCTAGTATAGATCTAGTTGTCTGACCATGCAACATGTTGTTACACGAACTTAAGATAGCTTACAATTGATATGGTAATCTTAAACAAAGTACACATTCTTTATGTAATGTGTAAGGTATGTATTCTTTATGTAATGTGTAGGATATGTATTCTTTATGTAATGTGTAAGGTATGTATTCTTTATGTAATACTGTAGGATATGTATTCTTTATGTAATGTGTGAGGTATGCATTCTTTATGTAATGTGTAAGGTATGCATTCTTTATGTCATGTGTAAGGTATGCATTCTTTATGTAATGTGTAAGGTATGTATTCTTCATGTCATGTGTAAGGTATGCATTCTTTATGTAATGTGTAAGGTATGCATTCTTTGTGTAATGTGTAAGGTATGCATTCTTTATGTAATGTGTAAGGTATGTATTCTTCATGTCATGTGTAAGGTATGCATTCTTTATGTAATGTGTAAGGTATGCATTCTTTATGTAATGTGTAAGGTATGCATTCTTTATGTTACGTGTAAGGTATGTATTCTTTATGTAATGTACGTGTAAAGTATATATTCCTTAAGTAATGTGTAGGGTATGTATTTTTTATGAACTGTGTAGGGTATGTATTCTTTATGTAATGTGTAAGATAAGTATTCCTTATGTAATGTATAAGGCATGTATTCCTTATGTAATGTGTAAGGTATGTATACTTTATGTAATGTGCAAAGTATATATTCCTTATGTAATGTCTAGAGTATGTATTCTTTATGTAATGTGTAAGGTATGTATTCCTTATGTAATGTGTAAGGTATAAAAAGCACAACATAGACATTTAGAAAGCAACAAGACATCTGTTCTTGTTAAATTTTAACATTCCATTAAAAAACACATTCGCATCCAAAATTTAGGGTTATATATGTCACAATTGTGTACTATAATTACATACTTTACTTCATCATACATAGGACAGTCAAACTCAACATTAAAGACCACATTTAATTGAGAATAAAAAAATGGAAAAGGTTAGGCCCAGATAAAGAGTGCTTGACTGTATATTTGCAACAGATTGATGGTCATAAGTGAAAATCAAATGTATCTGGAATGAAAACTAGGAGTGGTGAATATTTCACAGACCATGTTTCCTTCAAAAGATTAGCATGACAACAAATATAACACAGGTCATCTTTCCTTCAAGTGATAAACATGACAACAAAATAATATTTCACATGCCATGTTTCCTTCAAGTAATAAACATGACAACAAATATCGCACAGGCCATGTTTCCTTCACGTGATAAACATGACAACAAATATTTCACAGACCATGTTTCCTTCAAGTGATAAACATGACAACAAATATCGCATAGGCCATGTTTCCTATAAGTGATAAACATGACATCAAATATTTTACAGGCCATGTTTCCTTCAAAGGATAAACATGACAACAAATATTTCACAGGCCATGTTTCCTTCAAAGGATAAACATGACAACAAATATTTCACAGGCCATGTTTCCTTCAAGTGATAAACATGACAACAAATATTGCACAGGCCATGTTTCCTTCAAGTGATAAACATGACAACAAATATTTCACAGGCCATGTTTCCTTCAAGTGATAAACATGACAACAAATATTGCACAGGCCATGTTTCCTTCAAGTGATAAACATGACAACAAATATTTCACAGACCAATTGTTTCCTTCAAATGATGTTTATCACAACAAATATTTCCAAATATCTTACATCTAGCCTTTGTCAATTCAGAGGAGAAGATTTTTAAGTTTTTAATATATATACACATAAGAAAAATCCATGACCCTCACATGGCGGGGCCTATTTTGACACTAGGGGCAAATTTGACCAACTTTCATAGAGGACCTATTAATGATATTATATACTTAATATCTAAACTCTAAGCCATAAACTTACAGACAAGAAGATATTTTAAGTTTTACTATATACATATAAGGAAAACTTATTACCCCAGGATGGGGCAAATTTTAAAACCAGGGCTATAATTTGAACAATCCTGGTAGATTTCCACTACACAATGCTTCACACCAAATATCTAAGCTGTAACCTTTGTCAATTCAGAGGAGAAGATTTTTGAAGTTTTTAATGTATATACATATAAGGAAAAACTCATAATGATCCCTCCCGGGCAGGGCCTATTTTGTCACTAGGGGCAACTTTGTTAGAGGACCTAAAAATGATATCATATATCAAATATCAAATCTCTGGGCCATGTACTTTCAGACAAGAAGATTTTTGAGTTTGCATTTTTGAAACTCCTTTTCTGGCCCATGACCTACTTATGCATTAGACCGGAACTATTTGCACACGTTTGGCAGGGGATCATTTGGTTACTGTGCAGTTATTGGTTTCAGAGAATATGTTGTGTCAAGAAATTGTTGATGACGCACGACACACAGACACATGACGACGGACGGTGGGGGATCACAAAAGCTCACCATGAGCATTGTGCTCAGGTGAGCTAAAAAATCTAAAAGGGACATTATTTAATTAACTATCATAACAACTGTTAGGAAAAGGAAGTGAATTATTTCCCTTTCATTTCATTCAAAACCAAGAGAGAAAGAAAAAGTAGCAATATTTCCACCATCTGGTCAGAAAGGAAAGAAACAGTTTTTCTTGATTATTTCTATTAAATACAACATTCAAAGTAAGTTTAAAACTTTATTCTAAATACAAAAATTTCTCATTTATACAGAATGAATTATGTAATAATGAAGTTCAGTCAATATTTTAAACAGTGTTTTTAAATCTTTTTATCAATCTCAAAAAAGAAAATATTTGTTTAAATGAATTATGTATTTCAATTAAAAAGAAATATACATAATTATGTTAACATTATAATGAATTTTTCACATTACATTGTGGTGTTATATAAATCTAAATTTCCACATATCTTGTCAAATGAAAAAATAGTTTCCCTTGATAATTTTAAAATTATAACCAAAATTCAAAGTTTTAAACTTAAGTCAGGTTTACATATTATTAAATATATACTGTTTATATACACAACTGTCTTTTGTATTAAATGAATTATGTAAGAAAGTGTTACATGAATAATTGAATGAGTGTTATATTTTAGTGTCTCTTATATCAATATTCTGAGAACAAATATTCAAATTTACCTAATTAAGAGAAGAAAAAACACCACAACCAAATAGAGAAAAATATGCAATATTCTTGATCAACTGATCAATTAATAACTTTCAGAACTTATTTATCTTATGTTTCATAATGTCCAGATTCAGGGTCTCCTGTTCTGTTCTGTTCTAGGACATGAAGGACAAATAAGTAACAAGTAGGAGTATGTGATAAAAGTAACAAGAGGGCCATGATGGCCCTGAGTCACTCACCAGAAACAACTCTTTTTCAGTGTAGGAAATTATACATTGTCATTTTTTTCTAATATTAAATTTGAGCCAATCAAATTAATATTAGCAAACTTGATAAAAAACTACCTAATAATGCTACAAAGTTTGGTGATCATCTATCAATTATTTCAGTAGGAAATGATGTTCAAAGGTTTTTCTATTTTTGGCTTTAGTGGCCCCTAAAAGGGGCCAATCAAATTAATATGAGCAAATTTGATAAAAGCGTACCTAAGAATGCTACAGACAAAGTTTGGTGATCATCCATCAATTAGTTCTGTAGAAATAGACATTTAAAGGTATTTCTATTTTTAGCTTTAGCGGCCCCTAAAAGGGGCCAATCAAATTAATATGATCAAACTTGATAAAATACTACCCAAGAATGCTATAGACAAAATTTGGTGATCATTCATCAATTAGTTCTGTACAAGAACATATCTAAAGGTTTTTCTATTTTTAGCCCTAGAGACCCCTAAAAGGGGCCAATCAAATTAATATGAGCAAACTTGATAAAAGACTACACAAGAATGCTACATACAAAGTTTGGTGATAATCCATCAATTAGTTCTGTAGAAGAAGATGTTTAAAGTTTTTTCTATTTTTAGCTCTGTTGACCCCTAAAAAGGGCCAATTGAAATGACATGTCAGCAAATTCAAGGGTGACTGTCACAAGGATGCTACAGACCAAATTTGAAGTAAATCTGCCCAGCAGTTTAAGAGAAGAAGACGATTGTGGACGCATGACGACGGACAACGGACAACGCACCCCCTTTGATACTAATAGCTCACCCTGAGCCTTCGGCTCTGGTGAGCTTATAAGACTGCTGATTGAAACATTATTTTTCTGTACTAATATATTTCAGAATGTTTCAAGAACCTGACTACAGAGAAAACTTATCATTGATGTTATCAGAGGTTTTACATGACATTGGTGTCAATGAAAGAATTGTGATGAGAAGGAGAAGACAATTCATGCTGGAAGAGACTAATGGTAATATCTCAAACAGTTTAACTGATATAAATGGAACTGAATATCTCCTAGGGAGCCAAAGTGAAGGTACAACTACAATAGGACTTCATTCAGACATTGATATGCTCTGCTGTTTGCATAATTACAATATAATACAAGACTACTCAGAGTGGGAACCTGACAAGAGAAACTACCTCATGATACAGGATGTGAACACTACTCCTGGGTATTGTTTCTTACAACGACTCAGAAATGATGAACCTCTTCCTGCAACTGTCACTCCTTGTGAACATCATATTACTGATAGAAGAGGAAGAATATTGTTTAAAAACACAGTGATAAATGATTCTGTTCAGGGTGATGAGCACCAGCATGGACCTTCTATTGTTCAACCTGGATTACATGATACAGACAGAGTGTTAGCTTTACCATGTAAATCATGGCCTCAATCAGCATCAGGTTGGTTAGATAGACAGGGTATTGGCAGATGGCCAACACAAGAGGTGAGAAGATATGCAGCCAGTACTGGGTGTCTTGTTGTTCCAACTGGTAGTAAGGTCAGTGAATATCCTGAACTGGAATGGAGAATATCTACATCATTTGCAGAAAGATGTGTTATGTTTAATCTAAATATAACACAAATAAGGTGCTATGTACTATTGAAAATGATTCTAAAGTCCTTCCTTAATCCTCAAGATGAAATCAACATATCAAGTTTCATGTGTAAAACAGTTCTATTACATTGTATAGAAAACACAGAGTCAGGAATATGGAAAGATAACAATTTATATACATGTTTAACATACTGCTTATTGGAATTACACAGTTGTGTACAGAATTCCTGTTGTTCACATTTCATTATACCAGAAAATAATTTGATGGCAGGGCAATTCACAGCTGAGACAAAACATGAACTTTCAAAAAACATTTGTGATTTTATACAGAATGATAGACAACGGTTACTTAGTATTGATATTGATGATCTTGGTCATAGACTTCAAGTTAAACTGAACAGGGTACCGAATGGAAATTACTATTTTCCGTGTTATGAACAACCTTTGACCTTGGAATATATAAACATTGCAAACTGCATAAGTATACAGAATGAGCATATTTTAAAACATTTACACAATAAAAACATTAGAACAATAAAGCAATCCTTAAGTAAACTAATGACCTTCAGTGACAATGGTAATAGATTAGAACATGCTGCATTCAAGCTTCTAGCACCTTTTCTTTTTACCACTTACGGATCTATCCTAGCATCATCCAGCATCGGAGAAAACAATCAAGTGTCACCTCAAGCATTGGTTTGGTTATCAGCTGGTTTAAACTCAGATATCTCATCTAGCAGACTTAAACTGGCTTCACTTTTCTACAGTACAGGAAATATGGAGAGAGCTGAATTAATTCTGAGACACACAGAACAACAATATTTTTCCTATCCTGTTTTACCTATCTGTGGCTGTCGTTATCAGGTCCCAGAAGCAGTAACAGAAGGATTCAAGAGGATATGTAGTGAACAAAATGAGGACTGTATCAAACATATAATAGGATTTTGCGTCAGATTTATACAGAAAGAGATCAATTGTGTTCCTCATGAACTGCAATATGAAATGTTCAGATCTACACAAGATGACATGATACACAGAGATGAATATAAAGACTGTTGGATGGACTGGGCTGTAGTTGATTCTCTAGCTTTCTTATACTTCCTACAATACAAGATATATCGTCATCTACAAAGATATCAAGATCAACAACAAGCACTTTGTAAACTAATAAGAGCCATAGAAACAGATAAAAACCTCAGGCATAGAGAAACAGCTCTTAACATCTTAGGGCAATGTATGGAACAAGAAAACAGACATCAAGTAGCATTAAACTGCTACATACTTTCTCTTCAACAAAGGGCAAGAAACAATGTAGCAAACATCCATATATGTAAGCTCCTTTCTGGCTTAATGGTTAGCCAATAAACCTGGACACAAAAGAGAAGTATGAAGACTAGTTTTCAATGATCATATTCTGCTTGTCTGTACCAAACTGATTCAAATATCAGTAGATAGGACTGTCATCACACTTTTTATTACATATTATTTTGATATATCATTAAAACATGTGAAACTGAAAGAATTAATCCAACTTCATTCATTTGAATATCTGACTTAACATTTAAGAGTCAAGAGCCTCTTGTGAAGAGGAAGATATTGCTTGTGCAAATAAATTTTAAAGTTAAGTTGATCAGATGAAGTTTTTTCATAGTTATTCTTTTATCCTGTAGTCAAAAAAGTTTTAGCTGTCACCTTTATATATATTTAGTATTTTATTGTTGACAATAGTTATTAAAGTGTTGTTTAATATATGTACCCTGCATATGTAGTCTTGTTCTAATTTAATATATGTACCCAGTATATAATATGATCCTGTTTAATGCACTGTTTGGCAGCCATCATTGTGTCATGTCAATAAGAACAATGTAATGGTGACTAGAAATGTGTCCATAAGACACGGGTGCCCCCACACTGCACCGATTTGTCAATCTTATGTCTCTAGGTCAATTTGTTTTAGTAACATGTGCTAAAGTTGAAAACTAAAAATCTTTTATTAAGTAAAGGGCAAATACTACAAATACTGAATAAATCCACAAGAAAACCCCCAAGGTGCATAAGTACACATACTGACCAACATTCTTGTAAACTTTCAGGCCTACAGGTCATAAACTTTTTGAGTTACATGCAACACAAGTTAAATATTTTAAATTTTTACTAAGTCAAGGACAATAACTCTTAAAATACTAAGAATATCCACACGAAAATACCCAGGTGCACAACTTCACATGCTGAGCAACATTCCTGTAAGGTTTCATGACTCTAGGTCAAATACTTTTTTAGTTACGTGTGACACAAGTTGAAAATTGGAAATTTTTACTAATTCAAGGGCAATAACTCTAAAAATACTTAATTTATTCACATGAAAATACCCAGGTGCACAACTTCACATGATGATCAACATTCCTGTAAGGTTTCTCTAGGTCAAATATTTTTTGAGTTACGTGCGACACAAGTTGAGAATTGGCAATTTTTACTAAGTCAAGGGCAATTACTCTAAAAATTAAAAATATCCATACGAAAATACCCAAATGCACAACTACACATGCTGAGCAACATTCTTGTAAGGTGTCATGACTCTAGGTTAAATACTTTTTAGTAACGTGTGACACAAGTTGAAAATTGGAAATTTTTACTAAGTCAAGGGCAATAACTCTAAAAATACTAAATAAATCCATATGAAACTACCCAGGTGCACAACTTCACATGCTGATCAACAATCCTGTAAGGTTTCAAGACTCTAGGTAAATAACTTTTACGTGCTACACAAAAAGGGAACAAACGGACGGATGGGGTAAATCTAAATCCCCCCCCGCCTGTATGCCAACCAGATAGTTTTGTTTCTTAAAAGAAATCCACCCCTTGTTGGGATTAAATTCTCTGTCATCATTTATAGGCCTTGGTAAAAAAAGAAAATAAATCATTCTTGAACATGCACAGAGGTGAAAAGTTTACACAAATATCTATGTACTGGCAGCATGTGTATAAAAACCTAGCATGTCTGTAAAAAGCATGATGAGCAAGTACTGTATAAACAAAAGAATTCTGTCAAACTGTAATCATACAGTGAATTTTATGTTATTTTAAATGTATGATCTTTTTTTTCAGTAATCTTAAAAAGAAGATTGACAGTTAATTAAGCTGCACATTTTAATAGTCCTGACCTATCAAAATATAAAATACATAAGGTTCTTTTATGGCTGCATTGATATCTCAGCTGTGGCTTCACCTCTGTATGGGTTTGAATCTTGTTGGAGCAATAAGGGATTTATCCTACTAACTTTAAATATTTCACCTATATGTTGAATGCTTGCAGGGGGTGTGTGTGTTAAATAGTCTGGGATAAAGGGGCCTGGAAAAGTCCTTATATGACTAGCATAGAGTCTGTTTTGTTTAAGCATTATTTATTTAAAACATATTGATGAGCTTTGAGCTTTAAACAACTATTGAATCTGCTTTCTTGACCTTACCTGTACTTTTATCAAATGAGGAAACATTGTAATGACCTAAGTAGGACATAAACCCACAATCCTTGGGTTCAGAGACAGGCTTTATATCCATTAGGCCACCGCTTGGCACTCCTTAGTGTCTGTGTGACTTAAAGCTAATGTACATTACCTTTCCTTAATGTCCATTACTACGTATCTTGCCCTAGTGTACATTACCTTGCCCCAATGTACATTACCTTGCCCCAGTGTACATAACCTTGCACAAGTGTACATTACCTTGCCGCAGTGTACATTACCTTGCCCCAGTGTACATTACCTTACCCCAGTGTACATAACCCTGCCCTAAGTGTACATTACCTTACCCTAGTGTACATAAACTTGCCCCAGTGTACATTACCTTGCCCCAGGGTACATTACCTTGTCCCAGGGTGAATATTCCTTTTCTCATCATCACAATCTTTACCTCGCCATGAGTAACCCCTTCAATGCCTGAAATAAATCAAAACAGTACAACCTTCATGTAAAAAATAATCTTTGTTATACATACATGTATTTTAAAAACAAGTTGCTGTTGAAAGCATGTCTTAAAAAACCAATTTAATTTGCACCATCTTTACCACAAAGCATCTTTATAGGAAAAGGCATATGTTTTTCTGTAAAATATCATCCAACAACAATATTTGTAATTGTATTTATATGTCACTGTCATTTCAAGTGATTAATGTGAAGCCGTTGGCAGTAACTTGTGGAAAAAGAGCTTAGTATTGGAATATAATCCAAAAACACTAGAAACAAGAGGACCATGATGGCCCTGAAATCGCTCACCTGTATATAGGCCCCCAGGGAGAGGCCAATTTTAACCCAGGGGCTTTTATTTGAACAAACTTGGCAGACAGTCATTTGAAGATGTTTCATGATAAATATTAAAGCTCTACCTCTAAAAAGATTTGTTTAAGTTTTTACTATATACAGACTATATACATTGGGGCGTGGCCAATTTTGTTCCCAGTGCTTTTATTTGAACAAACTTGGTAGACGCTCACTAGAAGATAATTCATGCTTAATATCTAAACTCTAGCTCTTTGTGTTTTTTAACAGAAGATTTTTAAGTTTTTATTATATACATATAAGGAAAATCAATGATCCCCGGGGCAGGGCAAATTTTAACCACAGGGCCCTTATTTGAACAAAAATGGTAGACACCCATTAGAAGATGTTTCATGCTAAATATCTTAGCTCTAATTCTAAAGGTTTTTTAAAAGAAGATTTTTTGATTTTTTAATATGCATGTATACATAAAGGGAAAAACAATGACCCCCTGGGGTAGGGCCAATTTTGACCCCAGGTCATTTATTTAAACAAACTTGGTAGACACTATCTAGATGATGTTTCATGCCAAATATTAAAGCTCTAGCTCTTATGGTTTTCTAAATGAAGAAATTTTAAGTTTTTTCTTTCGGTTGCCATGGCAACCAGAGTTCTGCTTGGAATTAAATACCAAAGGGACATTCCTGTGAAGTTTGGATGAAATTGGCTTAGTGGTTTATGAGGAGATGTCGTTTAAAGTAAAAGTTTACGGACGGACGGACGACGGACGAAAAGCGATCACAAAAGCTCACCATGTCACTTTATGACAGGTGAGCTAAAAAGCCTAAGAAAGTGGTCTTGATTCTCCAAAAGGGAGGCAATTATAAAAAATAAAGTTTTCATTTAAACCAGTTACATTCCCTTGATTTCAAGTCCTGTATCCATAGTAAGAAAGTTGTGTGGTTCAAAACTTTTCAATATTTGTCTGTAAGTGCTTTAAGTCCTACATTGTTTTCTAAATCCCTCTTATTATTAAATATGAAATAATAAAGCCAGTGCGGAACAGTATCTTGGGTCTTCCTCCACAAACAAAAGTGCATTAAATATATTTTATGATTTTTAAACTTTGTTAGTGAGACTTAAAACCCAACAAGGCACTCTGAAGGACAGCTAAATCCCCTTCCTCATTGAACAGGAATGTGTACTTCTTGGCCTTTTACAAGCCACAACGTTACCTTGATGTTTTGCCATGCATATCATAAGCCCATAGTCTCATGATGGTGATTATTTTGCCATGTTATTTAAAATCCTCCATAAAGTAAACAAAAAATATTGAGAACATATAACCTTGACCTAGGGGGGAGCAACCTGAATGTTGAACTTTGCAGATTGTGATCATTTATGCCAAGTAATTTTGAAACCTTTAAATTGTCAATAAGTTATACAGCGGACATGAAATATAGATGTTTTTACATTGGACCTTTGAGTGTGACCCTGACTTTCAGGGTTGTGACTTGAAAATTGCAGCAGTTTAAATAATATGGACAGACACAAAATGTAGACTTTCTAACATTTGATCTGTAAGTGTGAGCTTGACCTTGGGTGTAGCAATTCAATTATTGCGCTCTGCACATCGTCTCAAAATGGTGATCACTCGAACCAAGTTGTTTAAAAAAAATAACTTTTCGGTGGTTTAAAAGTTATGGAGTGCCTAGAAATGTAGACTTTTATGCATCTGAACTTTAAGTGTGACATTGACCTTTGGGGTGGCATCCCAATTATTGCGCTCTGCGCATGTTCTTATAATGGTGATCAATTGTGCCACTTTATTTTTTAAAATCTTCAGCGGTTAAAAAGTTATAATGCGGACACGATATGTAGACTTTTTTATGAAATGAAGACTTTTTAACATTTGACCTTTAAGTATGACATTGACCTTAGAGGTAGCAACCCAATTATTGCCCTCTGCACATCGTCTCACTATGGTGATCACTTGTGCCAAGCTATTTCAATTTTTTTTCAGCGGTTTAAAAGTCATGGAGCGACACAAAAGTGTTACGAACGGACAGACGGACGAATTGAAGGACAGACTGATAGACTGACAGACGGAGGCCATTCCTATAATCCCTTTTTTGCTATGCTGAAGGGGATTAATAAAAATCAACAACAAAATAGGTGAAACAATCCACTCATAATGGCAAGATCCTACCATTTGCAGTATTCCTCCACCAGTAAAATTTAACTTTTTAAAAATTAAAACTTTTAAAGTGACTTAAAACCCAATGAAAATTAAACAGCAAACAA